CATTACATTCATACATAAACAACCAAAATTTTAATATTGTCTTGAATATGGGCTGTAAATCTTCTTTTTACTTCGCTTGTTAATAGTCACTCATAATATTTATGACATTTTTATATGTCCTATGCACTAATCCGGTCGGTTATGAGAAGAATGTAATTTAGTGTTACATAGTGGATTATTCTGAAAACATACAATATTCTCTGATTGAAGTTTAGAATACTTTCCCACTAATGGTAGAGAGTGGACTATCGTCTGTTACGGTCCACCATGTTAACCACCTAGACTGAAATCCAAACATATACTAGTCAATTATTGATAATTTAGTTTCTGATGAGAATCGAATCCAAAATGATGTGGGTGTATACTAGGGCCCAAAAGATTATCACTAGATTACGCCATTTGGTTTGTATGACCACTTAATCCTTTATATATTAAAAGATAAACATTGTAATAATTGATCTTACACAATAACAGACACGTGTCAGTTTCACAAACGTTTCAACTTTAGAATGCTGACGTGTCAGCATCACAATCATTCAACAATTATTATGTTTATACACTAATTTTCTCAATTCATGTTTATAGACTAATTTTTTAATTAATTTGTTTTTAATTTCTATAAATTTAAATTTTGTATCAGTGAACTAAAATTCTCTACGTAGAACTAAGGAATAATCATTATTGAAAAAATTACAAAATCTTTAAGATTTGTATCAACTAAAATATTGAGATGTGAATGTTTATAGATATTGAAAGTTTTGTAACTTACCGAAGTTGGTAATAGCTGAGGCTTTTGTACACACAAAGACGAATTTTAAATTTAGCCAAATATTATATTTTTACAAAGTTTTTATATCAGACTAAGAATTAGAAACAAAATCAAATTGCAAAAAAAAAAAAATTAGAATTTTTTGAAAAGAAAAAACAAATAAAAAACGATTAAAAAATTCAGGTACCAAATAAAGAGATCACGGTGTAATATATATTATTTTATTCTTTACGGATACAATTTGATTTTCTTTATAGGAAAAATACTAATTTCTAGGTTTTTTATTTTTAATTTATTTTATTTTAAAAAATTTACTATCATGTATTATTTTGAAGTTATTAACATTGTCTTCATATATTTATCCCCACATTTATATACTTTTACATACACATACATATACACATTGACGTACTATAGAGCTAAATATTTCCGAAAAGTGAGAATTTTAATTCTTTTAGAAGTTGGAATATATTTTTAATACTTCCTTTCACCATCGATCAAACTGTAGTGAAATAATTTATCTTAATAATTTTTTTTTCTTCAATTATTATTCAGTTTTGATTTGATTTCGCAGACTTTTAGAAACTACAATAAGAAACCAATGATTCGATATCAGAAATGTTTAAAATTTATATAACATGAAATCAAACAAACAACAATAATTTTTGGTAATCACCAGAAAAATAAAAACCATCAAATATTTTAACCGAACAAACCAAAATTATTATGAAGTTAGAATGATAGTTATATTCTGGGAGAGTAAAAACAAAATAAAAAACTTAAAACCAAATCGATATTCATTTCGCGCGAGTTATTTAGTACTTTATTATTACTAATGTTATTTGTGTTTTGTTGTGTGCTATTGTATACTGTTTTTCCTTGTAACTGAATAAACAATATGTTAGCGCGATCGATGTTATATCGTCGAGGTGTTTCATTACCACGAATTTTCTTAGAAATTGTGAACAACATATCGGGACCGTGCGATTAAATTGGTTTTTGTTGCTGGCAAGAACAGATAATTGTTTTATAATTAAAATAAGATTGGTTTCCAATACAAGTTGTCTAGTATACCTAATGTAGTTTGTTTATTACTTTTTTGTTTTGTACGTTCATCGATGATATAATGTTTTAGCTGTATTATTAACGCTCGACAATATTGACATAATAATTAAGACTCACTATTTAATTGTAGGTTTAAGTTTTTGATCATAGCGTTCTCATTTTCAAAACATGCATTCGTCATAAGTGAAATGAGTGGACAAAAAGTCCCAATAAAATTATGTTAGTTATTTAACTAACACATGTTATCATTAACAACTTTTTAGTTCTTTATAAATAAAAGATTTGGAGTTTCTAAGTCACGAGTTAAAGTAATCCACCACCATCGTAGATATTAGGGCTGGGCATTTTATTCGTTATATTTGATTCGATTCGTTATTCGTTTCGATTCGATCCGAAAATTTCGGATATCAGTAAACTTTCGAATCAAAGCAAATACTAAAATTCAATATCCGTTAAAATCGAAGCAAATCACAAATATTAAAATTTTGGGAAGCGGATATCCGATCCGATCCGTAAATATATAAATATATGNAGTAATCAAAATATGTGAGATATCCGTAAATATTCGTAAATATCCGCAAATATCTATTTATTTTCCGGATATCCGTTTTTCCGGATATCCGTATTTTTTCGAAGCAAAGCAAATACTAAAATTAGATATCCGTAACATTCGAATCAAATCACAAATACCTTAAAAAACCCGGATATCCGATCCGTGCCCACCCCTAGTAGATATGTGTAGTCAGGATTAAAAAATATGAAGAATACCTTTAACACAATCTAGAGCCGCTGGATATATATCTAGACACAGAATCAACCGTTGAAAGATTTTGCCTCGATGTTTTCAAAAAATCTCAAAAAGCCACACACAGAGAGACACTCAAATAGAGCACCGGTCCGTCAGAGTCACCTGCCAGAGTTGTTTCCTCTAAATTACCAATATATCTCTATCTCGTTTGAAATGTTCACAACTCTAAAAGGGCAAAAAGGGGATTTCCGTAGATAATATAATGAACCATCTGCATCAGTTTCGTCTTTTTTTCTCTGCTTCCTCGGCATATGTAAATTTGTTTAAAAATACTGTTTCAGTCTTTTAGATCAATGATTTACGCGCTTTTTCATAAATTTTAAAATCATATTCAAAAGGGAAAATAAAAGTATAAAGTACGTGAAAAGGGAAAACATTTGAATTTTATAAAAGAAAACCTAAATGTATACTAATCTTATATATTAAAACAGAAGTCATGACTTGATTTCATGTGTGATTTTTTTAAAAATGGACTATTACTAGAAAGTCATGTTACATTAACTCTCTAATAATCTTATCATTATTATATCTTATGAAAAACCATATCTATAATAACAAATATATGTTTAACAATTTGGTTTTGGTAAATTACCCCACACCTTCCAACTTAGTCACACAAAATATGTTAATAGATATAAGTTTAGGAATCTACTATTATTTATAAGGAAATATGTCAATAATAGTTAAATGCATCTACAATATATTAACAAAATCATAGATTCGTAATATGGAATATTTATATACCCTAAAAAAATTTACNAAATTTACACGCTATATATACTAGATAAATTTATTTCGATGTAAAATTTTAAAATTATATTATTTTAAAAAAATAAATTGCTTACAAAATTTCTTTTTAATAAAATTGTTTATAATATTAATTTATGAGGCTATAAGTTTAGTTTTTAACAAATATTTATTTGAAGTTTATATTATCTTTGCAAAATAAAGTATACTAATATTTAATCAAGCTTTATTTATATTACTTTATCTAAAAATGAAATATTAATCTAACAAACAATAAAATGTAGAAGAAAAAACAAACACATGTTTGAAAACATGTGTAATATAGAAAATTAGAAACAAACTATTTGATTAAAACACGTATTATATAATATTATTATGTTTGAAAAACATTTACTATACATATCGTAAATATGTGATTACTATAATATATACCAATTTACAAGTGAAAACAAAATGTTTATATAACTAACTATAAACGAAAACAAACACCCGCGCGGTTGCGCGGGTCAAAATCTAGTATTTTCTTAAACCCAGTTGAGGTGAGCCGGCTAAAGTATCTAGCATCATATCTATTTGATACTAATAGCTAATATAATGTTATTATTTAATTAGTTCAATTTGAAAAAAAAATAAGTTCATGAAATAGTGCTATAGGTGAAATAAATCCTTTTTTTTTGTGAAATAAATATGTTGAACACACTATTTTGTCATTCTTTCTCTTCGATAAATTTTATTAACTTTTGTTGTTGTGGGAACTCAATTAAAATACTCTTATATAGTTATAGACATACATCATATATTATCATTCTTTTGTACAAGTGATATGTACTAAGTTTAAAATCCGTATTAAAATGCTCATATAATCCTCTGTTGTCACAATTTACAAGTAGATAAAATTAGAGCCTATATAATCCCCATAGCTAATATTTTACAAAGCAACTAGATTTGTTTTTTTTGTTGTGCAACTAGATTTATATTAACCTTTTACGTTTGCGGTCGAGCCCACATAAGAGCCATTTAACCCACTTGAACGTGGCACGGGTGACATATAATTCTCTAGTAGTAGTACTATAGAAGACAACATTCCAAAACAAAGGAAAAAATATATTTGAAAGCTTATGTCCCAAACTCAATGAGTAAGACAAATGTGGTAAGAAAAGAAGAAGCTGGCATATGCACTTAGGGAGAGTAGAGTCACGCGCTGTATTTGCGAAGAGACTAGACAACGATGTCACAAGAACACGGTACATATGTAGATAAGTACATCTACAGACACAAGCCACATATGGAGGAAGAGAAGCAAGAGAGAAGATAGTAGAGAGAGAGAGAGACAGAGCATTGATGAAGACCACTTTTTAAATATTGCACGCATCCACATAAGAGCATCAGAAGAAAAGAGAGATAAGAAAGAAAAGAAAAGTGATTTTAAGGGAAAGAGAAAAAAAAGCAGAGGCGCCAATTACAAGTTTTGAGCTTTGCATGTGTTTCTTTCTTCCGTACATTTAACTCTGAACATAACCTCTCTCTCTCTCTCTCTCTCTGCTTCATTTGTTGTCTTCCTGTTCTGAGATCTCGCTCTCTCTCTCTAAGCTTTGTTTCTGTGTTGAGGCGATGCCCTTATCCTTTGAAAGGTTTCAAGGGGACGGGGTGTTTGGTGTTGTTTCTTCTCTCTATTCAGATCCTCAGAAAATCTGGTTTAATCAAGACAAAACCGGAATCAGAAGACAAGAACCAGAGCAAGAAGATCTTGGTTATGTTGTCGGTGGTGTTTTACGCGAGCCGACCTCTGTTCTCGACGCTTTAAGGAGTCCTAGCCCTCTCGCTTCCCACTCTTCAACCACCACCATGACTCTCTCTTCCTCTCACGGCACCACCGCCACCGCCACAGTCGCCGGAGATGATAAATGTTGTCTTGATGATCTCGACGGAGGTCAAGAACAGAGCATCTTAAGGCTTATAATGGACCCGGGTTCAGGCTTCGGTGTTTTCGACCCGGGTTTCGGATTCGGATCCGGGTCTCTCCCGGTGAACGATAATCCTATGGTATCCAGTACCTTCCCGTATCAAGAAGAGCTGATGTTCTCTAACCCTCCGTCACCTCCGCCGGCGGCGAAACGGTTTAATTCGGTTAATTCGGTTAATTCGGAATCTCATCAACCGGTTTTCCCATTCTCGGATCCGGATCCGGGTCTCGTTCGCCGTCAACAGCAATTCCAGTTCCCGTTTCAGTTCCACCAGCAACAACAACAACTCCCGTCTTCCTCTTTGGCTCCGGTTCCGCCGCCGGGAATGGCCGGCGATGACCAATCAGTCATCATCGAGCAGCTATTCAACGCGGCGGAGCTAATCGGAAACAGTAACAACAACAACAACAACAACGGCGACCACACCGTTCTCGCGCAAGGGATATTGGCGCGGCTCAATCACCATCTCACCTACAACAAGAACCCTCCCTTTCAAAGAGCGGCTTCTCACATAACCGAATCTCTCCTCTCACTCATCACCAACAACAACGCATCTCCACCGTTAATCTCACCAGAGAATCTCATCCTTCGGATCGCTGCTTACAGAGCCTTCTCCGAAACGTCGCCGTTTCTCCAATTCGTCAACTTCACGGCCAACCAATCGATTCTCGAGTCGTGCAACGACGAGCTAGGGTTTGATCGGATCCACATTATCGACTTCGACGTCGGATACGGTGGACAATGGTCGTCGTTGATGCAAGAGCTCGCTTCGAGGAGAAGAAACAGAGCAACGTCTCTGAAAATAACAGTCTTTGCTCCTCCTCCGTCAACGGTCTCCGACGAGTTCGAGCTCAGATTCACGGAGGAGAATCTCAGAAGCTTCGCTGGAGAAGTCAAGATTCCGTTTGAGATCGAGCTGTTGAGTCTCGAGCTTCTTCTGAACCCGGCTTACTGGCCTGGCTCTCTCCGTTCGTCGGAGAAAGAAGCAATCGCGGTGAATCTTCCCGTTAACTCCGTCGTTTCCGGTTACCTTCCGTTAATTCTCCGTTTCCTTAAACAGATTTCTCCAAACGTCGTCGTTTGTACAGACAGAGGGTGTGACCGTAACGACGCGCCGTTTCCTAACGCTGTGATCCACGCGCTTCAGTACTACACTACCCTGATTGAGTCTCTGGACGCTAATCAAAGCCAAGATGATTCGAGTGTGGAGAGGTTTTGGGTGCAACCTTCGATAGAGAAGGTGTTGACGAAACGACACCGTTGGATTGAGAGATCACCGCCGTGGAGGAGCTTGTTTGCACAATGTGGGTTTTCTCCGGCGGGTTTGAGTCAGACGGCGGAGGCTCAGGCGGAGTGTTTGTTGCAGAGGAGTCCGGTGAGAGGGTTTCACGTTGAGAAACGACAAGGTTCACTTGTCATGTGTTGGCAAAGGAAAGAACTTGTTACTGTCTCTGCTTGGAAGTGTTAGTTTTCTCTGTCATGTGTTGGCAAATCCATCTAATGTTTGTTTTCTTTTTTATGATTTAATCCTCTTTGAATGTTGTTATGTTATTGTTCAGTGATGTTCTTAGTTTCAGCTTTTGTGTTAACATTTTAAGGAAGTAAGGATATATATATATAATCAAAAATCTCCTTTTGTTAGTTTTTATTTTGCTTTTGTCTCTCAATGATGTCTTTAGAGAATGGTTGTTTGTTTTTTTGATATGTGTTGGTTTAAATTTTATTGAAATTTGTTTAACTAATTATATATTACTGTTTTATAATTGATATAAATGTTTTTGATTTGCTTTAAATGATATTCTTAAAGGATTTTCCAATCAAACAAATGAAACATTTGTTTTATAATCCACAGAGTCTATACATTTGAGTTTGAGTATAAACAGTCGTTTAACAAAAAAAAAGAGAGTATAAACAGTCTAACTTGGACTAATAATTTCTTGGTCTGGTTCTAATTTTTTACTTGAAACTGACTTGTGGAAAATTCTGTTTAAGAGCCTAGTGTTAATGCTAAGCATACATCACATAAGATCAATAAAACAATTATATGTAATGTAATAGTGTAACACATTCCTAAAGAGAGTAAAGATTCCAAGCCAAAAGCGGATAGCTAATTGTTTGTTTAGCTAATTGGCTATATCATTAGGTTTTGGAGCTTCCAAGGTTGAATGTTTGTTTAATCGTCTCGTTTACCTAACAGATTTCTTTTAATGTTTGGCCATGATAAAGTTTGTTTTTTTCTGTCATAAAAAGGTTAATTTGATGACAGTTTGTATATTCTAATGCAAGGATTAAATGTAGTCCTGAAATGTATTCATAAGCTTTTTAGCTTTAAGATATAGTATACATGTTCATTATTGTAATACGACTTTTGTTTGTGAAGTCACATGGTCCTAAAGTCATAGGTGCTTAATATTATATAATCTCAACTTTTATATGTTAACTAGATTGGACGGTCTTGATTTGCGACCAACCGCTTCATTAAACTAATATTGATCTAGTTCTTATGACGCCGGTGTAGAAAATTAATATTTCTTAATCATGGCCAGTCCATGTAGTAGCTAGAAACGTGTAATTTTGTAACTTGGCTAGATTAAAAACACAAATAATGTATACTCCCTCCGTTTTATATTAAGTGTCATTGTAGAGAATTTTCTGTGTTACAAAATAAGTGTCGTTTTCGGTTTTCAATGCAAAATTTATGAATTTTATTATATAATTTGTTTTTCTATTGGTTAAAATATGGTTAGGTGTGTGGGTAATTGTGTTTTTATATAGGAAATATGTAAAATTAATTGTTTCCTTAATCCATGTGCATAGCTGTAGAGTGATACTTATATTGAAACAGAGGGAGTATATATTAACCTATATATCTATTTATATCAATTATTGTCGTATTTGTTTACTACTATGATCTATATCTAATCCACTAGCAAGTAGCATCTTACCTAACTACCAAAACAGTTTTAAATTTTTATCTACCAAACAATGTTAGTTTAAAAAAAAATAATGTTAAACTTTGTTATGTTCATATTATACTTAACGGAAACAAAAAAAAGGATACTTAGACTTTTAGTATTAATTAAAAAGTTTGGTAGTGACACCTCTAGGCACTAGTAGCGGATCGAGGTTTGCATGTTACCATGTATGAAATGTTTTTGTTTTGGTTGCCTAATTTCGAAATTATCAGCTTTTGACAATATGAAAAGCATCAGCTTTACGTACAGCTTTAAAACTAAAAAGACATATACGTCATCTATAAGATATGAGAATTTGAAATAGAAATATAATAACGTGAATTAACATGGAGCCAAACCGACAACAGACACTTTTGTCTCCATGACTGCCAAAGAAAGTTTCAGATTTTTACTTTGGGAATTAATTGAGAAACACCAGTTCATGCACACCTACGTGCTACAAACATTATACCTACTTTTTCTTATTAAAAATAAATTAATTTTCTGGTGATTTATCAAGTCTGTATATTGTAGGGGTAACAATCTTAAAATTCGAATTTACTGGAAACATGATGAAAACTCTGATGTGTTAGTGTTTGCTTGAATGTAAAGTGATATACTTATGAAGTGTATGTCTTTTTTAAAGTGTATATGTCTTTGCTGTAATAGTTTTTAACTTTTGTATCTCAAGGCTAAAAAACTAAACAATTAACCGAGAAACTTTCTGACGTTTATAGTAATGATAATCTTAGATTAGATTTAGATAAAAATGGTGAAATGTATCTGACTTTAATATTTGATTGTAAGAAGTCATGGTGATTTTATGCTTTAATTGTTCAGGGTGGGCAGCGTGAATTAGAGGAGCCATGGACTAAACCATGGGAGTTTCGCTTCTTGCTTTTCAAATTCTGACTTCCAAATTGGTTGGATTGGTATTAGTCTACTTACATCAAAACTATGTAATTTTCTGCACAATGTGTAGCAATTAAATTTTTAAAGTTAAATTATATTTATAAATAAAGTTAATCTATGTATGTATTTAAAATTATATATTATTTTAGATAGAATTTCACTTATTTTTTTGGTTAAGATATATTATATCACTTTATATAAAATTAAAAATATATAGAATATATAATTGTATTATTATATTAAAGTAGACTTAAATAATATTTTTAAAATTATAAAATACATAATTGTATTATTATATTATTTAATATTAATTGAATAACTTATTTAATTTAATGATAATGAATGAATTATTATCATATTCTAAAGAGTTTAACCAAAATAGAAATTAATATTAAATATAATTTTAAAAGTCATAATTATGTAGATGACAATTGTCAAATTACTTTTCAAATAATATCTAAGTAATTATTTATTTTAATATTATAAAACAGTGATAGGTCAAATGAACTGACATTTTAAATTAAACATTAGATATAAGCCTGGATACTTATGCTAAAAAGGTAAAACTATTTAAAATTTTAAATATTAGAAATAGAAATTTAAAGGTATTAGAAATATAAAATTATAAGGTAAGACTTTCAATTATATAAAATTTATTGTAGTTATTTTTTTTGCAATTTTTAAAATTGTAAGAGTATCTTCAATGTATGTCTACATTTTTTTTTTCTAAAATAGAGATACCTATTATAGAGGTGGATTTGCTCTAATATATGATTGTATAATAGAGTTTTTCTATTTTAAAGAAAAATATAGAGGAATATTAATTTTTGCCTTTATATTTAGAGGTAAAAATATCATATCTCTATGTTTTTTCCCTATAAATAGAGGAACTCTATTATAGAAGTATACATTACAGAAAATCCACCTCTATAATAGAAATTCTCTATTTAAAAAAAACAATATAGAGATGAAAATGGAAGTTGGTTAGAGATGATCTAAGTTGTTACAAAAACCTGGTTGCATCTTAGTAACATCTCCAATGTATGTCTCTATATTATTTTCTAAAATAAAGATCTATGTTACTGAACTGAATCTGTTTCAATGTATGTTTTTATAATAAATTTTTTATGTTTTAGAAGAAAGTAGAAAAAATGTTATTTTTTATCTTTATATTTAGAGATAAAATAGTATATATCTATATATATTTTTATAAATAGACAAAATTCTATTATAGAAACATATATTTAAAAAATTATTTTTATAATGGAGATTTTTTATTTTAGAGGACAATATAGAGAAGAATATAAAAGTGGATTGGCGATAGTCTTAAGCTGATACTTGCTCTACGGCTCCACCACTGTCTTCCTTTCCTAATAATTTATTCTTTTAAAATCTTTAAAACTGATTTTTTCTGGTTCTTTAGAAATAAAAGCTACTACCTTTTTCTCACTCGACTTATTATAAAGTCCGCTTGGGAACAACGCATTCTCTAATAACCCCACATGATTCTAGCGTTCTTTTCTGAAGACCTCTTTTTAGTTTCTATCCATTTTATAGCAAATGGGACAATTACTAACTAATACCTGAAACATGAAACGAAAAAAGAAAATCAAACTTGTTGTTTATGTAGAGCCAGTTACTGCATACAAAAAATATAAAAAACGTGTGTGCAATTGGGCTGAGCAGCGTCAATGGAGTGGTGGTGGACATATCACCATCAAAATAATTGCAATTCAGCGTCAATCATGTAATCTATATTATAATGATTCACTTTTGAAGCTCCTAAGGTTATCCATATCAGCAGCTGAGTGGGCCCCACGTATTTAAATTTTCAAAAATTATAGTTTTTTTAAAATGACTATGAACAATGAATACACTTTAGCAAAGTGGTATAAGGCATTTAATTAAGTCTGCAAGTGTGTGGGTTCAAACAACGCAGCTATTATGTATTTTAGTTTTTTCGTTTGGATTATTATCATATGGACTTTTTAGTTTTAATGTAGAACTCAAACCCAAAAGCAATTAAAAATGGATCAAAAAACGAATATCCAAAAAAAAAACTATATAATAATAATACACTTTTGAAGCTCCTCTGCGTGTCCACGTCAGCTAATCAATTAATAATAATAGTACACTTTTGAAGCTCCTCAGCTAATCAAGTTGTGTGACTTCTAATGTTTCATTAATTTATTTTTTAATTTGGGCTTTTCAAGATCCCTAAAAGCTTAGGGAGATCCAGAATGATTTTTTATGCTGGTTGTTGGGATACAAAATGGCTTAAGGATTTGAAACTTTATAAGACCATCTTAGATACTTTTATAAGAAAGGTTATCATGTCTAAACCTCCTATATCATTTCAATTCAGTTATGATCATCAAAAAAATTAAAAACATATTTTTTCAATAATAAATATTTACCCCGAACCATTCAGATCGGCCATAAATCTGATATACATCACAACTAATATATATATACAATACAATTTCAGAAAGAAAATTACACTAATAAACACATGTCATTTTTTGTCTTGTCTCCATTAAACTACTTTTTTACATGAAAGCACTAATAACAGTAATGCTCGATAAAATCACTAATAAAGGGATTGCTCGATAAAAACACTAAGAAGATAAAATATGAAAATATCAACCCATATGAATTCGATGTTTATTCTTTTATCAGACTAATCAAGTTGCGTGACTTCTAATGTTTCATTCATCACTATTATAGATAAGCCAGATAAACAAATGTTAAAAAAAAAACAGCAAAGTCTCATACATAAAACTACACAAAACATCAACAACGTATCCAACCCCCGCGCTTGCGCGGGGACTATGCATCTAGTAATTTTAAGGTAATAGTATATAATAAGGTTAACTCGATTAGTAATGAATAATTATCAAATATTTCTCATTATAAACCAAAAGGAGTTCTTTATCTATTATATTAAAACATAACTAGACTTTGAGCCTCTCAAGCGCGAATTTTGTTTTGATTGTAACAAAATTTATAAAATGATTCGATTTCTGTTATATGATAGTTTTATATGTGAAATTTAATGTATATTTAACTTTTTAGTAAAATATTTTCATTGAGTTTTGTATAACCGAATCGGTTTTTGGTTGAACTGAGAATCAGAAAATTAATTATTGTGAGAGTATGAAGAATTAAAACACATATTAAATTGAAATCAAAATTGGATGGGTCCATGGCGTAAACCCTAAACCCGCGATTCAAAATCTACGAACCCACACGTGCCCCGCATAAAATACTCATAACCCGCACCCACCAATCAATTTTTTCAAATTGTTTGACCTGCTCCGCAGCGGGTCAAACGGGGCAGGATCCGTGGGTGATGACTCATATTCACAGCCCTACTCACATCATAAGCATTTGAGATTTGAACCACACCTATAACCAAAAATAAATCATAAGCATTTGAGTAAATTTTTCTGACATAAAACATAAAATTGAAGGAATGTTAAAAATATTGAGTTAGTAAAACCATATTTCCAACTATATAAACAATGGCCATTTAGTACAAAATCAAACAAAAGTTTTCATTTTTAAGAAATACCTCTATATTGCCCAATCTTAGCAAATCGTAGAAGACATATAACCATGCCTTCTGTTTCTTAGCTAGCTGTATGAAGATTCTCAGCAAATTTACCCCAAAGACAGTAAGCTACTCTCTGATCACTAATAGAATTGCATATCAAGTTATAAATCAATATGTTTATAGGCATATATATTTTATATTAAATATATAAAAATTACGAAATGAATATATCTAAATCATAAATCTATATAAAACGATAAAACTTAAATTTGCATTAAAAAAATAGTTCTATGGTCTCCCATATGTCTTTCATGAAATGTCTCGATGTATGAAGGATTTTGACTTGGATGCGATATGTAGTCTTCCTCAGTTTTATATCGCTCAAGAAAGACAACTGCAAATTATTCGCCATTTTTGTTTTAGGTTTTTCAAGGAATGATGCATATAGTGGTTAAGAGAGGCTATATTTATAATAGGTAGGGATGATATACATTTAGGTTACGCAAATGTAGGGTAGAATATTTAGATGATTTTAAAAAAATATCTCTTTCGAGAAATAAGGAATATTTTTGAAGATATTTTGAATTAGATAGGAAGTTTAAAGTTTAACAGTTAATGGTAATCCAACTACAGTAAGTTACCAAAATTTATGGAATCCAACCAAAGAATAAATAACCACGATATCGCTTGTGGTTAATCTATAAACTTGTAGAATAAACAATTTATTTATTTTAGTAGGAAGATAAATATAGAAATTAAGCCAGTGTAGTATGAGTTTATATCATATAGTCTTTGTAATATAAGATGTAGCACAACTATATGAAAATCTTAATATATGAAATATAACATCATATCATGGGTAGAGTAATATGAGTTTATTAAGTATAGTCTTTGAAATATAAGGTGTAATACAACTATATGAAAATATTAATATATGAAATACATCATCATATCATTGATATATGATGCATATATAAAAAAAATATCAACCAAAAATTATAATGTTAGAAATCTACAGATTTAAATTGTGTAATATAAAGTATATAACACAATACAAATGTAGGAAATATAGAATAAATTATGGTTAGAGTAATTAATGGGAAGAGATAGAATAATTCGGGTATATGTAATATTTGATATGATTTGTAACAAATCGATATATATATATATATATAGATGTAGGCCAAAAAAATAAATTACCAAAATGCCATTAATGAGGGTGCAAACAACTTTCATCAGTCGATTTTTTCAAGGGTGTCTTTACTTTTAATAGTATAGATTCATAATCATTTCATATGTTATTCTTAATTTAGCTTATCTTTATAAAGTTTATTAAATTTTACATAACATTATTATATAATATCATTTCATATCTTTAATTTTATTTGAAATAAAAATAATAATTTTGGGAAAACTCTAACAATATCTTTGTAGGATCTTTTAGATTTTTCAAAAATATATTTTTGAAATTTTTTTAATTGAAAATTTAATTATCAGCAAATAATTAAATTCTTATTTATTTTATTAATAACAAAATTATGTTAAATAATTTAAAAATTATTTTTAAAATTTATTTCTCTATGATGTATGTCCAATTTAATTTAATTTCCACATATATTTAAAATTTAGAAATTAAAAAATTACTAATGTTACATAATAATGTTTTTTAATTCTAAAAAAGTGAAACTTATAAATTTTATAGTAATAATATTATAAGCCACACAAACTTAATTAAAAAGTTAACTAATATATAACATCAAATTATATTAATATATTAATAGTTTTTATTATATAATTTAAAACATTTTAGTACTCATAAAAACCCGAACGGTTGATCGGATCAAAATCTAGTTATTTATCTAAAAGAGATATTATATAAATATTCATACATGGACTACTACATCTGTATGAATACCAAATTATAGATACACACCCTAAAGCCACTACCCCTTTGTGGCAAATATAAACCAAACGCAGACCGGTGTACTGGTCTTAATCAGATAATGACCGAGTCTCTGCTTTCCACCTCCTATAAGTTTTCTGGACATCTCAAATGGCAAGACTGAAGACCGCACCATTTCATTTTCACAGCAACATTACGGGGGAGAGCTTGCCAGACTGCATGTGTTACGCGCATGAGTAGCTAAATCACAACGAAGCTTGATCCCGAAACAAGGGAGATAAACCACAGTAAAAAATGCCTTACCTTGTACTTCTCAGCTGAAATGAAAACAGGAGTTTCCTCTCTGTATTAACAATGCCATTGCAACAGCAAAATCTGTCTTCAAGAGAAGTAAAAAAGTACCCGAAACGATTTTCCACAAAAATCTCTCAAAGAGAAGTAAAAAAGTATTAACAAGAAATGCTTCGACATTTGTATATCCGAACGAAACTCACAACGTAAGTATAAGGGCACACATACGAAATAACCGAGCACACAATCTCTGAATCACTTACTACGTAGACGTACGAGGTCGAAATAGAATTAGAGGCTTGGGTTGAACCATCCAACCTGCTAAGAGTCTTGTTCGATAAAAATGTCCATTTATTTCTATAATAAACGCAAACAAAGACGAGATTCACGAGAAGTTAGTGTTGGGGAGAACACTCACAGAAACAAATGTCTTTTAGATTACAGAAGGATGAAAAATCGTAGTCTCATGACAAACCGTAATTAACAATTCTCTAACGCAACTAAGTTCGAGACTGATTACCAAAAAAGAAAAAACTAAATTCGAGACTCAACCAAAGGTGAACTAACGACGATGAGACGAAAGAAGACTGAATGTCGTTCCGACACAATTTGATTTTTTTTTCATGTCTTTTTGATTTGTCCGAAGCTACTTCGAGACATTGTTGGGTTGGGTTGTGGAACATTGTGTGTTTTTTTTTTTCAATTCAACGTGATCATGTCTTCTTCATGATGTATCCCAAGATGAGACCGATTAATCCCACCAGAAGAACGTACATGAACGGGATTCCACCACCACTCTGACTCCTCTTGCTTTCACGCTTCAGATGCTCCTGCAATCATACATATGTCTTTGTTATCAGAGAGGTTCTTGTTTTGCAAAGAAGCGAACACACGTTAAACTAACAAAGCTTGACACATATAGAGTTAACTCGGTATTGCAGAAGTGATGAAACTTAAACCAAATTTGACACTCATTTCTTCAAAGCAATTCTGTAGCCATTTCATATCTCAAATGATTGAATGAGTCGTAAAGGGGACCGAACAGAAATATACACAATATACTGGTCGGATAACAGCTATTCAAGGATCACGTGAAGGCCAATGCAAGTGATAAGCTAGTCACTTAGTACTAAAAAACACAATCAAACAAAAACGGCTGCTTCTCTAAAACCAGGGAAACTAAAACAATACAAGGACCAGGAGAAAGTTCCTTACCAATTCTTGTTGAAGTTTCTGGTTCAGTTGAAGCGCAGAGTTCTTTTCCTCGGTGAGCCTTGTGATGAGAGCTCTCGCCTGAAATCACACAAGCCGATCGACGTCAAATTTTGCATGTAACAGGAATGACCATATCACCTAAGTAACTCCCACGGTAAGTATTGCCAATCATTAGCTAGTAAGTTTGTTGGAAACTCATAAACTGACTAGTGAAGAGCTAAAACCATTACCATATTCCACTAGACCACAAGCTAATACATTGGTAAATAGTCTTTACGGTGATAAAACAGAACGATTACTGTTCTTGGTCTAATAAGTTAAGATAATTGAAGTATACAACAAGCGAGTCATCAAAGAAAAAAAACAGCTCCAGAAAGACTTGACAGAACAGATAATTCCTTAGTTTGGGTGGTAAATTAATGTAGGTCACATAATGGTATACTATTCATTCACGATGAAGAAAGTTAATAAAAAATACCTCAGATGAGTTTTCCTGAGGTTCAAGCCTGTCCACGCTAAATCTTGGAGCCTAAATGCAAAACAAAAAAAAATCAACACAATCACCAAAGGAAAACGTCAACCATAACCCCCAACACCGATTTCACGATTCCATCTTCTTGGCTATTTAATCTGAGGAAGTCTAAACTTACAGCAGTAAAATCAGAGACGTTTGTACTATCTGACACAGAAGCTCTCGGCGAAGAGCCTTCTTCTGATCCTTCACGAACAGGTGAAGGCGGCCGTGGTGGATCAACATAGACAACTCTCAATTTAGTCTCCTCAACTCGATGCCCTGCCTCTTTGCTAAACTGCAAACGTTCCATCACAAAAGAAAACACTGTGTTAACTCAGCAAGACACAGAAACGATGAGAACCAATGTTTTATAAGTCCCTATTACCATCTCCGGAGTAACTTCCTTGGCAGTGGCTCCTGGACTAGCTACAACACACTGAAGCAAGAACTTGTCTTTGCACTGCATATCAGCAGGAGCTTCCTTCTGCGCTTGCATGGTCACTAGTTCCCAGAGAAAAACAAACAAATCAAACTCATAATCTCAGAAAGAGTGAGTTCTTCATCTGAAAATGATCTAACCTAGAACTTCAGAAGAGGATCTCGGAAGAACAACACCAGTGTTAGGCCTGACGCAATACTTCTTTGGATTCGTCGTTTTAACCTAGAAATTAAAACCATCGTAAACCCTAAGACACACGGAAAGAATCTCTGAGAGAATTTTCGAATTGTAAAAATTGTATATCACCTTGAAGGCGACATAATTGTCCGTCTTGTTAGCCAGATACAGAGACGAAGAGATCTGCTTCTTCAATTCAACTACACAAGAGGATCACAATTCAAACAATCTAACACAAAGGCAGATCTATAACATGCGAAAAAAATCGTTGTAAATTTTCGGAGATGTTGAGCTTACAAGGGAATTGAAGGTCGATAGGATCTATGTCGAGAAGCTCGTTACTCATTCTGATAAGATCTACGACGGAATTTGGTTTTCCGGTGGTGATCGAGCGTGGTGCTCGTCGTCGATCGAGGACGGAGATTCACGGAGAGAGAGGTTTGGGTATGTTTTGAAGAGTGAAGACGATATATGATGCCCTTCTTATGACTCGAGGACTCAAGGTGCGTCGCTATCTCGGGGGTATAATTGTCATTCTAAGGCAATGACCAAACTCGTTTTAAAAAAAAAAAAGTGTTTGACCAGCGAAAACGAGGTGGAAAACCACGAGGTCCAATATCCTCTGATCTCTTTCTACTTACCTAATTAATTGATCGTCAAAAAAATGCCTATTTAAACTAAGATAATTATGCTCTCAGAAACTTAAAAAAAAAAAAGATTACTGAAAATTTTACGACCAACAATTGTAAGTTTGACGTTATTTTAAAATCTAAACCGTCGTCATATGGAAACCATGTTTGACTGTACCAATTATTCCAATTTATTAAAAATCTATTATACGATTTTTGCATTAATTTGCATATTCTGATATCGTTGGAATTCATAATCCGAACTTCTTGGTATAAAAACATAGTTACACTTCTGAATTAAAGATTTCCATAAAAATGATTATCTAATTACCATAGCTATAATTTAATAGGAGTATTTTTATTCTTTTAAATTTGGTTTCCACTTTCTAAATATGGTGTATTTTTTTGTAGATAATTTTTTCTATCATCGATTACATCATCATATAATATATTCTTTTTACATATGATGATCAACTACCTATAGCATATGCGAATATGATAAATAGTTTTACGAACATCGATTTCACGATGTATTTGTTTCCCACTTAGATCAAATGACAGTTCTATATGTACAACATGTCGATGGACATGTTCTCTCTACGACATATGGACACAACAAATAGCTTTACCTACGTCACTTTGGAACCTCCGAAAAACTTGTATCACATAATCTGCAAAAAAGTTATATTCTTCTAGAAATCAAACCTTAAATCTGGTATAAAAACCTCTAAACTTTAACCAATAGGATAAAGTGTTTTTACTTCTTTGATAATTAATAAATATATTATTTTTGGACAGAAAAATTTAGATGTGTCTTGTATGTAATTAGCGTGTTAAACATGTTGTAACCTTTATCTTGTTTCTTAAAGTGATAGATGGTAGATAATTATAACTACAGTAAACACAAAACATAATATATGTGAAAACTTTAGCACAGAGATATCTCAAGAAAATAGGCACGAGCTTTTGGGATATCCGTCAGATTCAGTTCGGTTAATTCGGATATCTGGGGCTATGCTCAGAAATTCCATTTCTTTATTTTATTAATTTTTGGATTTGGTTTATTTTTTTTATTTAATTTCGATCTGATTATAACCAAAATCGCCAAAAAAAATTTTTTAAAAAAAACTTTAAAATTAGTAAAATACTCAGAATATATATTTAAAACTAATTTAAACTATTTAAACTACCTACACAAACAAATATTTCAGAATAAAGAAAACTACAAGAATCTTTAAAATACTCTAACAATATCTAACTTACCTTAATAAATATAAAACATTAACATATTTAACTAATATCAAACATCTTCGCATCCTAGCTTGAATTTTGATTTCGATTTACTTGAAACCAAAAATATCAAAATTTTAAATCTTGTTCAGATATATTATATAACAGTTTAGTTCCGGTATCGGTTTTATTGGTTCAGGTTAGATATCGGGGCTTCGGTTGGGATAAAAACTCCCATGTCTACTAGAATGTGTCTATTATCACTCTAATTTATCTCCAGAGACAATGCCTTCCTTGCTGAACCTGCCAATTTAAAGAGTCAGTGGCCTTGAGAATTTAGCTGAGCCAAAAGAATTGTCAATTATCTCTTGGCAAAAATGTAACTTTATATTAGTTAATACATAAAGGTTAGCATCTAAACAAGGGATTTTCACACCCAAAACGAAGGACACGTAAATGAGATTTGGTATAAACATTTATAGAAATCAAATTCGGTATCTTTCAACTTTTTGTCCTCTCCTTGTTATAAATTACGGTTACCTTTCAAGATTTATAATAGCTCCTCTTGCAAATGATTCTAAAAATTCCCTAGCCGTCCGATCACAAGAGATCGTGATGATCGCGTGGAACTTTTAGACCGGTCTTTTGCCTAAACCGGAGAGTACCAGATTCCTTCTCCTCTTTGTCTCTTTCTTTCCTTCCTCTCTCTCTCTCTGCTTTTAGAGGTTTCGGTTTCGGTTTGTAATCGAAAGTTGAAAAAGGGCGAATTCTCCATGGCGTCGTCAGCTGAAGCTTCGAGCTTGGCGTTATAGCTGATTGATCAACCATGGTCTAATGATTCCACCGCCCTAATCCCATCTCCAGGTCGTTAATTCTTCTCTCTTTCCGGCTCCAGATTTTGTTTTGGGTAAGATTTCGCTTCGGTTTCGGGTTTTACTGAGCTGATTGTTACTGGATCGAAAGGCTAGAGCTTGGGTTTGCTTCAATCTGGGTTCTTTTGTTGTTTGTTAGAAGGTTGCTGATTCCTCAGGCTGAGGATTTGAGAATTAGGGTTTTCGAATTGGGGGTTGGCTCAGTAATGGAGTAAATGGCTGTGCTCTTGTCATCTCTACCAGTAATTAGCAACTTTTTCATACAGAGACTTGGTTATGATTTGAATCTGAGAATACAAACTCCTCACGCCTGTTAATTGCTTTCAGGGTAATTATTTCTTCATTTGATTCTGTGTTTGTTTGGATTTTGAATTAGCTTTTCCTCTACTGTAAAGCTCCAAACTTTTGCTACATCTTTACTTCTTGTTCACTTGGCCTTGGCTTTCAAAAAGTGGACTTTGTGTTCTTGTTTGAAACTTTACTTCTGTATTTGTTCATTACTTGGCCTTAGCTTTTCTGATGCACGACCTCTTAGCTTCTAAATGCTGAACTTTGTGTTCTTGTTGTTCCTAAACGTTGCGTTTGCTTATTTATATATATTTGGGGGTGTCTAGTTCAGATTGATAAATGTGTTGCCTGCAAAGAAAGCTATAGATTGATTGTTATATGAGATGTTGCTTTCTTTGTTCACCGTAGTTGAAGTTTTATTTAGACTTCTTGTGAACCAGAGTAGCTAATATTGGGTCATTGTTTCTCTTCCATCTCCATTAATAAAGATCCCACGGAGTAGATACTATAACTTAGCTTTCTGATGCACAATCTCTTAGCTTTCAGAATCAAATGTCTGGACTTTGTGTATCTTGTTTCTGGTATTGCTTATATTTGGTGTTCCTTATATGTCTAGTTTATATTGAAACTGTTGTTGCCTGCAGAGAAAGCTAGATTGATTGTTTTATGAGATGTTACTTTCTTTGTTCACCCTTTTCCAAGTTTTATTTTGACTACTTGTGATTGTGAACTGCTAAACTTAATATTGGGTCTCATGTTTCTCTTCCATGCAGAGTAATAAAGGTCCCACGGAGTAGACTTTGTTTACCACAAGTGAAAGGAAGTGCCTTTTGTTTTTATTGATGGGTGAGGAGTTAGCCGACACAATGAACCTGGATTTGAATCTAGGGCCTGGTCCTGAGTCAGATCTCCAGCCAGCGGTAAATGAAACTGTGAATCTGGCTGATTGGACTAATGACCCTTCTCAGAGATCCTCGGAAGCTGTGACGAGGATCAGAACTCGGCATAGGACGCGGTTCAGACAGCTTAATCTCCCCATACCAATTCTGTCTGAAAGCCATACCATGGATATAGAGTTGAACCAGTTGCTGGGAAGTCCTGCAACTAGAGCTGCTTTGCAGACTGGTGAAGGTAGTGAAAGAGGCAATGAGGATCTGAAAATGTGTGAGAACGGAGATGGAGCCATTGGTGACGGTGTATTAGAGAAGAAAGCTGATGTTGAGAAAAGCAGTGGCAGTGATGGTAACTTCTTCGATTGTAATATATGTTTGGATTTGTCCAAAGAGCCGGTTCTCACATGTTGTGGCCATCTTTACTGTTGGCCTTGTCTGTTCCAATGGCTACAAATCTCGGAAGCAAAGGAATGTCCGGTCTGCAAAGGAGAGGTGACTCCTAAAACCGTGACACCAATATATGGGCGTGGAAACCATAAAAGAGAAGTTGAAGAGAGTTTAGATACCAAGATCCCTATGAGACCTCATGCTAGACGCATCGAGAGCTTGAGGAATACTATTCAAAGGTCGCCTTTTACAATACCAATGGAAGAGATGATAAGACGCATACAGAATAGGTTTGAGAGGGATTCAACCCCTGTCCCTGATTTCACTAACCGGGAGGCATCAGAAAGAGGGAATGATAGAGCCAACTCGATTCTTAACCGGTTGATGACTTCTAGGGGAGTTAGATCAGAGCAGAGCCAGGCTAGTGCTGCAGCAGCAGCCATTGCAGCAGCATCAGAGGATATCAATCTAAACCCGGACATTGCTGCTCCTGATCTTGAAGGAGATACCACCACAAGATTCCATCCTTTGCTGATCAGGAGACAGGTACAGTCACACAGAGTGGCAAGGATCTCTAACTACACTTCTGCATTGAGTTCTGCTGAGCGGCTTGTAGACGCTTATTTTAGAACTCATACATTGGGGAGGAACCACCAAGAGCTAAACCATCATGCTCCTGTTGTCGTTGATGATAGAGACTCTTTCTCAAGCATTGCAGCTGTTATAAACTCTGAGAGTCAAGTGGATACTGCAGTTGAGATTGATTCCATGGTTACTCTTTCGACTTCTTCTTCGAGGAGAAGGAATGAGAATGGCTCGAGGGTCTCTGATGTGGACAGTGCAGATTCTCGCCCGCCTAGGAGAAGGAGGTTTACTTGAAACAAAAGCTTTCAATCTGTGCAAGATGATGATGATGATGATGATGATGATGATGAGGAGGAGGAGGACGAAGACTGTAACTTTATTTTTATTTTTCTTGTTTGGTTTGTTGTATTTTGATTTGTAATTTTGCAATAGGGATGGTAATTTTAATAAAAGGTTTCCTTTTCAGTAGTTCTATTCTGATTGAACCTGGCTATTCTCAATCCATTGAAATGTGCGACTTATTTGATTCTGCATATGATGCATAGTAATCTAATTATCTCTACGCGACTACGCATAAAACGGCAACTACGCATTAAACGGCAACATACTCTTAACTCCTAAATAATCGATTATAAAATAGAAAATTAATAGGTAGTTTAAAATTAAATGTTTGGTTCTAAAAAGGGAAAATTGACAAAAAAAACAATGACTTTGGAATTTAAGATAAAAAACCACGAATTCACAAATAAGCCATTTTGTACATCAACTATTGGAAAAAAATATTTATTATCGTTAACCAAACCATTTTAGACATGTTGAAAGTTAAAAATAACATATTAACGTTGACTTTTGACGTGTATAAAATGGATTGGTCAACGAAAAATATGAAATTTTATTGGTTCCAGTTTAAAAGTTAAAAATTAAAAGAACTTGTCAAAGTTAATTATAATTTTTTTTTAAAATAATTTTTCAAATACAAATTATTTTTGATTTTGATAATATGAAGTATACTATATATATCAATGATTTTGATAAATAAATTCACTTTTGATCTTATGTAGTAGTCTCATCTTAATTTCTTTTATTAATGTTTAATGTTAAGTAAATTAAATAGAAACTTGTAAGTGATCAATCTAAAATAAATAAGACATGTGGTCATGCGTGTGTTGTGATTGTTCTTAACATAGTTTATCTAATTAGTTGATTTTATCGGATTGTGGCTAATTCACTAATTTTGCTTTATAACTCTGTGTTCATCATCCAAAGAAGATCATTATGAATTCTTTTATCATTGAAATCAAGGTTTACAATTTCACGAGGATCATCCTCTTTCAAGTTCTCATTTTTTCACTTGTCAATTGACACATAAGTCTTAATTATTTTAGATTGATCACTTATAACTTTCTAATCAATTATTTAACGTTAAACATTAATAGAAGAATTTCACATGACTCTACTACACAAAATCAAAAGTGATTTTGTTTAAGATAATCCACCAACCTTTATATCCATTTGTTTTGAATTGAACACTTATAAATTTCTATTTAATTTATTTAACCTTAGACATTAATAGAATAATTTAAGATGAGACGGCTATATAAGCTAAAAGTGAATTTATTTCTCAATTCATTGATATATATATAGTATATTGCATATTATCAAAATCAAAAAAAAAACATTTGACAAACTATTTTTTAAAAATTATAATTTTTTTAAACTTTGGTAAGTCATTTTAATCTTTATCTTTTAAACTCGAACCAATAAAATTACATACTTTCGTTGACCAAGCCATTATAAACACGCCAAAGTTCAACGCTAACTATTCATTAGCAGAGTTAACGGTTTGACTTTCAACATGTATTTATTTATTTATTTATTTATTTTTGTCTACCGCCCATCTAAGTCTAGATCAAGTGGTGATCAAGCGAGTCGATTTCCCGAAGAGAATCTCCGCTTGACCTGGTCTGATCTATATGGGAAAAAACATATCCTTTTCTCCTCGCCTCTTTAGCTAAACCATCCGCACGAGCATTCCTAGTTCGCGGAATATGAGAGAGCCTCATATCCGCAAAATCCTCCTATAGCCTCTTTAGCCTCTCTATCTCTGATAAGAAGATTGGCCATTCCTCCGTGTTAGTAGACATATCTACTAGGTCCGCGCAGTCTGTCTCAATCCTAACTGAATTTATCTGTAAATCTCTCAAGCATGTGAGTGTCCAGAGTAAGCCTTCCATCTCTGCATGCAGCGCTGAGCGGCATCTACTGCATGCGCGTTGTCCGACCCTCTCCTGGCCCATATGATCCTTAAGGCTCAACCCTAAACCACTGACGCTGCCATGATCAATCCATGAGGCATCAATTTGGCAGGTCGGGATTCGGGGGTCCCCAGGGGGTTCTGCCACTACCTCGAAGGAGGTAGGTGCCTCAACCGCCTCATAAACTTCCTCTCGCGTATTTGCTTTTCTCCAGCATTCTGCCTCAAGAGACGCATGTTGGAGAGTATCCATTGGGGACACGACCTTCCCATTAAAGAGTTGGTCGTTCCTCGCCTTCCAGATGTACCAACAGATCCATGGGAAGGTGTCGAATTGTGGACTCCGTGGAGCCACCTCTTTTCTCTTCCAAAAAAGGAAGTTTATGTTTTGATATATAGATGTACTCGAGAAGACACCCGGAATGGATGGATAGTCCGATAAAGCCCAAACCTGCAGAGCAGGGGGACACTCAAAGATAAGGTGGTTGATTGACTCCACTGGGCCAGCACATCTAGGACAACTCCTATCGGTGCCCAGGTGTCTGTAGGTGAGCCTTTCAGCTGTCGCCACACATCCTGAAATAGCTTGCCACAAAAAGTGCTTCATCTTGTTTGGGGCCTCTATCTTCCACACATGACTCTGGAGACCTGTGATACTTGGTTGGAGAACCAGTTCATGTGTAGGTCTTATTTTGTTCGATTGAAGTAGGTCATAACCGGTTTTAACGGAGTATACTCCTGTCTTCGTGTGATCCCAAACATATCCATCTGGAGTTGACGAACATGAGGGTTTTAGCCCAAGTATCAAGGGTATATCGTCTGGCTGGAAATATTCTCTTAAAAGTTGTATATCCCACTCGTTGGTATCAATCCTAATAAGGGCTTGAACCGGGAGGCTGGGTAGTCTGTATACAATGTGATCCGCAGGTCTGGGTGGTCGGGCCACTAAGTCAGGGATCCATTGTTCACTCCATACTCTTGTATCCCGACCCGTCCCAATTCTCTTTCGTAATCCCGAAAGGAGTAATGGTTTTGCCGCCATAATACTCCGCCATCCATATGAAGGTGAGTATATACGTCGATCTTCCAAAGGAGAGGTATTGTAATAGTACCTCCCCTTTAGGACACGTGCTAGTAGTGAGTTCGGGTAGTGTATCAGTCGCCAAAGTTGTTTTGCAAGAAATGCTAAGTTGAAATCATGGAGATCACGGAATCCTAGTCCCCCTAAATCCTTAGGGGTGCAGATTTCGTCCCATGATATCCAATGCAACCCTCTGCTATTCTGTTTTGAGCTCCACCAAAAATTTGAGTTCGTGCTTCGTAGTTTATCAATGATGCCTTGAGGGATCAAATAACATGACATTGGGTATGTCGGAATTGCTTGGGCCACTGCTTTAATCTGAACCTCTTTTCCCCCTTTGGACAATAATCTCGAAGACCAGTTGTTCACACGCCCATTCAGCCGGTCTTGAACATAGGAGAAGACTTTGGTTTTTGAACCACCAATCTGTTCAGGTAGTCCAAGGTACATCCCCATGCCTCCTTCTGTCGAAAAACCCAGGGCTTCTTTAATCTCTTGTTTCCGAGGGTAGTCCACACGGTTTCCAAAAAATATTGATGATTTCGCCGCATTTAGTCTTTGTCCCGATGCTTTGCCATAAATATCTATAATGTCTATGATCTCCTTTCATTGGCTTACTTCCGCCTTGCAGAAGAAAAGACTATCATCCGCAAATAAAAGATGAGAGGTCCTTGGGCTCGCCTGTGCCACCCGAAGCCCTACAATCTTCCTCTCCGCTTCAGCACCATTCAGCAATGAGATCAGAGCTTCTGTACACAGGATGAACAAAAAGGGGGACAAAGGGTCACCTTGGCGCAGACCCCTCCTTGGTACGATCCGGCCTCTCGGTTGTCCATTGACTAGGACTTGATATGAGACCGACGTGACGCAACACATAATGAGGTCAACCAGTCTTTCATCAAAGCCCATCTTCATCATCAGAGTAGCTAAAAAACTCCACTCCACTCTATCGTAGGCTTTACTCATATCGGTCTTGATGGCCATAAAATCTTCCCTGCATCGTTGGTTCGTCCTTAACGCGTGAAAGTTCTCTTGTGCTATCAAGATGTTGTCAGTGATCAAAAGTTTTGCCACAAAAGCTGATTGTGTCTCCGAGATCAGTCGCGGGATTAGCCTCTTAAGTCTCTTGCATAGTAGCTTAGATATAATCTTATAGCTAACGTTGCATAGACTAATAGGTCTAAATTCCGACATCTCCCGGGGTTTCTTCTTCTTCGGGATAAGACATATATTTGTTTGGTTCAGAAGTGGGTCAAAACTGCCTGTCTCAAAGAATTCTTGCACCAGTCTAATGATATCTTGCCGCATCTCACCCCAAATTTTTTGGAAAAGTTTACTAGTCATGCCATCCGGTCCTGGTGCTTTATCCGGGTTAATATCAAAAAGGGCTCTCCGGATCTCCTGTTCCGACGGTACCTCTAAAAGTAACCTATTGTCGGCCTGGGAAACTTTCTCTGTAATAAACCGAAGGGAGGTGTCAACTTCTGTCGGGGAGGAGGTAGAGAAGAGATCTCGAAAGTATTGAATCGCAACAGTCTCCACCTCGATTTCACTCTCTACCAATCTCCCATGTTTATCTTTAATACTTATGATCCGGTTTTGTGCTCGGCGTTGTTTTGTAGTGGCATGATGAAATTTTGTGTTTCTATCCCCATATTTATGCCATTGATCTCTACTCTTCTGTTCCCAGTAAGTGTTTTCTTCTTTAAACGCCATTATCAACTGGCGCCTCAACTCTTCTAGTTCCTCGGTTGTGGAGCTTTCATCATCTTGTACCAAATCTATTCTGTTTTTTAAGTCTTCGATCAGGACGGCTGAGTTTGTTGGGTTGTGTTTCTTCCATGAGCTGATATTGTTCCGACATGAGGTAACTTTTTGATGAAAATTCCGGACTGGAACCTCCTCAAATTGTCCCCATCCCGTAACTACTGCTTCCTTAAACCCCGGTTTACCTATCCACCTCTTGTCAAATCTGAAATTCTTTTTCTTGGTGCTTCGGGAGGATGATTTAATCCTTGTGAGGACTGGTCTATGATCCGACCCCCAAAGCTGTAAGTATTCCACAATACTATGGTTAAATAGATCATGTCATTCTTCGTTTGCCACTGCTCTATCCAGTTTGCATTTAACTTTCCCATTTTTCCTTTTTCCCACCCATGAAAACGAGTTTCCTTTATATGGGAAGTCAAGCATTCCACAGTTCTCTAACATGATTCGGAAAGGGAGGAAAGAACTCTCTGAGCGTCGTCTTCCTCCCCTCTTTTCATGGTTACCTGTGAGCTCATTGAAATCTCCAGTCATAAACCACGCACCAGTACGAGTTGTACTCATACGTGACAGTCGTTCCCAAACCAGTTCTCGATATCTCATATCAGGTTCTCCATACACAAAGGTCATAAAAATGGCATGTCCTTCAAATCTAGTTTTAATATCGATCATATGCTCGTCCGCATATAAAATACAAACATAGGGATCATCCATATAAAAAAGTGCTAGACCTCCGCTTCTCCCTACCGGATCCACGGTACAAACATGGTCATATCCAAAAGAAACTTGAACATCTTGCATAAAATTTCGATTGTTTTTAGTCTCCGACACAAATAGAAATCTAGGTAAAAAACAGTGAAACAACTCATGTAAGTGCTCCTTAGTCAAGGACGCTCCCGCCCCTTGACAATTCCATGCAACTGTATTCATCTCGGGATTTTCGGAGGTTTATTGTTTCCCCCTTTGACTGGAAAGTTTTGATTTTTTTGAAACTTCTTTATGGGTTCTTTTTTGGAGTGAGAATCCCGGCGCAAAGAGGGTGAGCCTTCAGCTGCTGTCCCTGATGGGCTTTTGGTTGATGAGGCCCGGCTCATTACTATCATCCTTTTTTTCAGAGAGCAACCCACCGCAGAAGGACGCGGAGACCCTTTCTTCCTCGTCGACATCGAAGGGCCAGGAGTCTGCACCTGTTTCTTTGTTTGCAAATCATCATCAGCCGGTGGAAACTCGGATTCTGGACTCCCTTTCCACCAACTAGGGGTCTCGCTCGTAGCCTTCCCCTCCCTTTCAACATGTACAAAATGGTTTGGTCAATGATAATAAGTGATTTTTTCGTGTTTGACCAATAATTGATGTATAAAATGGCTAGTTTGAGAATTTGTAGTTTTTTTTTTCAATTTTCCGTTTTGAAAATCATTAAAGGAAAATTAAATATATGAATATCCCCTCTAAACACATGATTTAAAGTATTGATTTGTTTGAGTTTGTTTTACGAACATCCAGTCGCTTTGGCCGAGTGGTTAAGGCGTGTGCCTGCTAAGTACATGGGGTTTCCCCGCGAGAGTTCGAATCTCTCAGGCGACGACATTTTTTATCATTAACTTTTTAAAACTTTGCTTTTCCTTCACGTCGTAGCTCCTAACTTTTTGTCCTCAAACAAAAATCCAAAAGACTAGGAGCAGTGTACATGTCACATGCGCACAGCAACATCCGACACGTAAATTATTCTTTTGAATTATCATTTTTCATATGTTCTTCTGTATAACAAAAAATTAAATCCGATATTCCTTCTATCTCTTGGCAAAGGAAACGAGCGTCGTCTCGTTACTCGATGCACGAACTCGAGCCAATTAAAAAATGGTTATTAGATCTTTTCGTAATTGGTCATTAGGTTTCGTAATTTCCTCGATAGAAGTTGACTTTTAGTGACTCTTGTTTCAAAGTCTTTCTTTACCAGCTTTTTACTGCTTCTTTTGTTTTTTTACTCATTAAGACATATGGCACACACGTATATAAGTGAATGTAATAATACAAATTAAATTCTAAAAATACTTTTCCTCTTATTGTTCGGTTAGATTTTAAAACATGAAATATGGAAAATAAATCGTGCGTTGAAATAGTAAACCGTTGAGAAAAAAAAAAAACCTCAAACAGTAATTAATAATTATGAATATAGTACAAAATCATAAATAATTATGGTTTAACGAAATTAATGTATTTCTTAAAAAAAGGAAACACCACCTTCGTGAATTGTGATTCGGTGTTTTTTAAAAAAAGTGGAATAAAGACAAAAAGACAAGAGACCACCACCATTAATAGCTTTCAAGCAGACATGAAACATCCCTCCTCCTCCGCCTCCCCCCGTCTCTTTTCATCTTCTGCGTGATATTTCAAATCTCTTTTTTTTCTCTTCGTCTTAATTTCAATCTGAAGCAACAAATAAGAACATCAAGTCTGGAGTTTTGTTTCCAGGTAATAAACTTCTTCTCCTCCTTTTTGAATTTTGGGTTTGTATCTTTTTGAAATTGGGGATAAAGATTGAGAATCACCTTATTTCCGAATTTGGGTTTACGGGTCGATGATTTTATTGTTGATATATCACATCATGTGACAAATCAAGCTTGCTTTTTTTTAGGGGGAGTATATCTCGAAATGTAAAAAGATCAAATTTTTAGGAAAACCCTTTCTCTGATATGCTGTGATTGAATCGTTTTGGTTCATGTGCCAAATATAATGTTGATTTTGATCATATTGATGTTTGCATTTCTGAACACCGTTTTCTATTGACTTCTGCTTAAACCTGGTTTGAATCAATTTTTTTTTTTTTTTTTGTATTGCAAAATTTGAAACCTTGCTTGCTCGTTCTTTGTTAGCTCCATATTGCTAATTCTTGTTCTAGTTAGATTGAAAAGAAATATTTTTGCTTTAAATGATGTTTGGTAGGTTTGCTGTTGATTACTGTTAACTGTTGAAGACATTTGAATGCTGCAAAGGTCTAGCTTTTAGCAATGTTCATTGCTTGAGGTCTATTCTTTTACTAGTACCTATCTGAAAGTGCATTTAATGTTTTTGTCCAGTTATTAGTTTACTTTTTGAATTGTTTTTGCTCCTCAAACTTGATCAAGTGAACTAAGTATCTATCTGCCTTTAGTTTACTATTTTCTTGTTCTGTTAGATCCATTATTATATTGCTACTTGAAAAGAATAGTCTCTAAAAAGAAGTGTGTTTTATTTCTCTCTCTTGGAATTTTCTGTATTGATGTTTGATAGTTCTGTAATTGGTTACTGTTAACAGTTGAAGTCATTGGAATGTGCAAAGGTCTCTCTAGCTTCTAGCATTGTTCATGGCTTGAGGTTTATTGCTTTGGGGCCTATCTGAAAGTGCATTTAATGTTTTGCTCCAATTGTTTGTTTACTTTTGAATTGTTTTTGTTCCTTAGGAGTTAAGCTAACAAATCCAGAAATAAAGTAACAAAGACTTGATTAAATGAACTAGTATCTGCCCTTATCAAGTTTATTTGATATGATTGTTAAGTTTGACATATGAATCATTTAAAAGCTCACATTAGTCATGCTTCTTTTTTTCCTCACTGCAGAATAACACATAAATCCAAAAAGAGCAAAATCATCTTACTACAAGAGAGATACAAGGGCATCTCATTTGACTCACAATGGCTCCAGGAGGAAGTGCTTTGAAAGAAGTCCTTGAATCTACTTCAGCTGGAATGGATTACGAGGTTAAAATGGCGAAAGCCGAAGTTAATAATCACAAACCTACAAAGTCAGGGAGCGCAGGAGTTGGAAAATATGGGATGCATTCAAACAATGGTGTCTACGAGCTTCTTGAATGTCCTGTGTGTACTAATCTAATGTACCCTCCAATTCATCAGGTTTGTCCCTCCCTTCACAAATTTTGTAATTGCAATGTTTCTTTTCTATTAACATTTGCTTAATTCTATAGTGTCCAAATGGCCACACCTTATGTTCAAACTGCAAAGCAAGAGTGCAAAACACTTGCCCTACATGTCGCTACGAGCTTGGTAACATAAGATGCTTAGCTCTCGAGAAAGTTGCAGAGTCCTTAGAAGTTCCATGCCGTTACCAAAGTTTGGGATGTCATGACATTTTCCCTTACTACAGCAAGCTTAAACACGAGCAGCATTGCAGGTTTAGGCCTTACGCTTGCCCTTACGCTGGCTCTGAGTGTGCTGTTACAGGTGATATCCCCACGCTTGTTGTTCATCTAAAAGATGATCATAAAGTCGATATGCATGACGGCTGCACTTTCAACCACCGTTATGTTAAATCAAATCCACATGAAGTTGAGAATGCTACATGGATGCTTACGGTAATAACATAAGTAGCTGTCTATCACTATTGATTCATGTTACACTCTTTAAGTTACTTTGACTTTGTTTTCTAGGTGTTCAACTGTTTTGGGAGACAGTTCTGTTTACACTTTGAGGCGTTTCAGCTAGGGATGGCTCCAGTGTACATGGCGTTCCTTCGTTTCATGGGAGATGAAAACGAGGCAAAGAAGTTTAGTTATACCTTGGAAGTAGGAGCTCATGGACGTAAACTAACGTGGCAAGGGATCCCTAGAAGCATACGTGACAGTCACAGGAAAGTCAGGGACAGTCAAGACGGTCTCATCATCCCTAGAAACCTTGCTCTCTACTTCTCTGGAGGTGATAGGCAAGAACTCAAGTTGAGGGTAACCGGTCGAATCTGGAAAGAAGAGTAAACCGGAACAAAGCAACAAAGTGTTGGTTTGAAAAAAATTGATGTACATAAGAAGAAGCTCTCATGGAGAGGTAATGATCATATGGAAGATTTGAATTTTGTTGCCTGGTTTTAGTATGTTATAATAGAATTCTTCTCCAATGGGGATGGATATGATGATAATCTTCTATGATGAATCAGTTTGGAGGGAGCCAGGGTTACTATATTATGGCTGCAAGATTCATACTATCTCTGTACTTTTTTGGTTTCGTTCTGTTGGGTGTTTGTGGTTTAAGACAGGGAGTGTAGGGAAGTTAAGACCTGATTTTGGCTATGTACTTGTTGGAAAACCATGTCCGAAACAGTGGTGCACTTTTTTTTTGTTTAAAATGGTTATTTTTATGCAAAAGCATCATTGGAACGTTGCAGAGACTACATAGATGTCAGCATCCACATGAAGTAGACAAGACCTCCTTGTTGCTGAGAGGTAATTGTTTTATGAGTTTGAAAAAGTAACGTAAACTGTCTAGTATCCAATGGACAGAAGTTTATTTAAATAGACACACAAAAACATACATATAAATAGAAATATTATCATGGTGAACAAAAAAAAAAAATAGAAATATTATCATAAATCGTTTGGAATTGTAGAAAAAACAGTGTTCAGGCTTGTGATGACTCTCGAAATCGAGATGAACAAAAGCTCTTTCCACTTCTGGAAGTTCTTCGAGTTTTATTTGCAATGTTTCACCAATTGCATGAGCTTCCTTTAATGGCAAATTTTCTGGTAGTTCTATATCCACCTGCCAAGACACACACATAAGAATATGTACAGCTAAATATAAATTGACCAAATGTTCTAATTTTTTTTTTTTTAATTTTAATGATGCAATGGTCAAATGCAATCAGAATTTGATATCTAACTTTTAAATATACAATTGCAACACCAAGATAATGTATAAACAAACCTCGACAAAGTAAAGAACACCAAATGTATAGGCGCGGACAGTATCGACACATCTGATATTATCTGCGACTTGTCGCAACACTAAGTATGTCAACTTCTGTAACACTTCTGGAGGAGCTGCCTGTCCAATCAATGAGACTAAAAATAGAGGAAAATGATAGTGAAAACTCAAATGATATAATAAGATGAAAAATACAATTAACAACATTGAATTACCTGTTAGAATTTAGAAAAAATAAACATTGAATTACAACTTTTACCTGCATTTTCCATAACGGTCCCAAACCAATTGATAATAGTGTAGATAGCTAAGAGAATAGCACCAACCGGATCGATCCACCAGTAAAAAGCATTCCCAAGAACGGCCGAGACTAGTCCAAGAACGTTTGTCACAACATCAAAGTGGTGATCCTATATCATAACTCATCGATTAATCTACATGATATACTGAAACTACATGCACATGTTACATGTATATATACCTTTGCATATGCACGGACAATATGATTTCTCGAACTTTTGCAGTAGATCCACAAAACAAGTTTAATAGCTGTTGCACTTAGCATGATTGAATATAACCAAATTAATTGGTCATGGCTCATTTTTTCTGAAGGTTCATTTGCAATCAATTTGTCAGCTGCCACAAGCAGCACTTGAAATCCTACACCAACGTATGTATAGTTAGTTTAGTATTACATTTTACTTAAGAAGCTTATAATATATAGTTTTGAGTTGAATACAAATTTTATATACCAAGAGTGGCCATAACCGCAGCGAAAATAATGATTCCAACAGGTTGCACCCTAAGCTTTCCAATGGGATATTTGTAAATGTTTATATTTTTCATTGATAAATGTGTGAACCATAGGATTCCTCCTGCCATTAGATCAAGCAAAGAGTCGAGGGTTGATGCTGCAATGGCTATTGATCCACTCTTTATTGTAGCATATATCTATACACATTATAGAACATATAGCTATCACTTAACTCAATGTACACGCAGCTTAATAGAAAGTCATATACCTTGAGACCAAGTAAAAATATGTTAGCCCAGTTGGAGATTTGCATGGCCATCTCTTGTGCAGCTCTCTCAGCTCGATCTTCTTCTACGACTTTTTCATCGATTACATGCTCTTCAGACCGAGCTATGAGACTTTCTACTTCCTCAAAAGATTTAAGTGTTGCTAATTGTCGTTCGTAGTATTTCTCCTCATCTTTAAAGATCAAAATATTGTTTTAGAAATGACTTTTCTTTTAATAGTGTGACAATATCATCTAACTTGTAGAATAAGACACTTTGATGTGTGTGTCTATTTATTACTTAACCTCTTTTAAGACCCACGGCCTTCGAGAAATCAATGTGAAAAGGGTCTTCCGGGTCGATTACAGACCGAAGTTTCTGAGGCAAACCAATGAAGAAATTAGGTTTCATTGTGGAAACCAAACTGGTTAAGTTCGGTTTGTAAACTTCAGCCTCATGATCGTTTGACGAAAGCAACGGTGTTTCCATAGAGTTGACTTCCATTTCTAAAATAATATGAATGAAATCATCGTCAAATAAGCATAACATAAAAACGTGGATAACTATAAAAAGTTGAACTTGAAGGTGATAAACTAAAACCTCTTATAAAGATATATATATTACCGATAATGTGCAGAGGGTTTTTTTATGCTTGTAGATGAACGACGAAGAGGAGAAAGGATTGTACACAACGATTGGTTCTTATAGTATAAATATATAAGAATTTATATGCAGTTTCGTTGAATCTTGAGGATCAATTAATAAGATATTATATAGAATAAAGAAGATGATGTTGATGATGGAGACAAGCCCTGGTACTTCCTAACTTCCCCCATGCCTAAGCATCAACACGATGGTCTGATCCACGCCACAATCAGGAGCTTCTCGTTGACGATTTTGTCTTCTTGCTAAATGACAAAAGTCAACTTATTATTGATAGACGACCCGTGCAAGTTACATGGTTGTAATTGCAAAGTACAGAACGAATCTAATTTTCCGAACCGTAGTCTAGGATTTTATGCTCACTTTGACTTTGTCTCACCAGAAATAAAAACTAGAGTCTCATTTTACTTTTTTGAAAAAACTAGTCTTTTCTATGGGTCAAATTCCGAAAATCTGGTCAATACTTTACTTATCTTGGATGACTTATGTAAATCGATCATCTAGAAAATTTTTTTTGTTTAATATTCTAATTACAAAACTACCTTAGACAACTTACATGTAAATCATTTAGAAAAAATAAAATATTAATTTTGTAATTTTTTACTGGACGTTTCTAACACATTCCAGTCAAATACAAAATTAACCCGTCCACGAAAAATCAAATTTCTGACACATTCCAGTCAAATACAAAATTAACCCGTTTCTCGTAGACGACTTACATGTAAACCATCTAGGGTTTTTTTTATCAAAAAAAGATTGACGACTTACAAGCATGTAAATCATCTACGTTAAAAATGCAAAACTAACCTAAATCAATTGTTAAAAATCAATAGAAGTCGTCCAGACGACCTCCGTGGAAGTCGTTTACATCAATGTTTAATAAAATTTCGTTCTCTCTAAACCTATAAAGACTTTTTAATATTTTTTTGTTAATTCATGTATATTAGTCAATATTCGAGCTACTAAAATAACTTAATTGGTGATATTTATGAGGTTATCAACATTCATGTTAATTAAAGTTTTTAGATGATCCGAACAGACTTCCGTGGAAGTCTTCTACGCTAGTTTTTGAATAACTTGTATTTTTAAGAGTGTTAATTAACTTCAAGATACATAAAACTCATATTTTCAAAATATGTTTTCTCCTTGGTTTTACTAAATTTGACTTAGTTTTTCAACACAAACTTGTAAACAATGTGATATGCTTTGACTAGTTACTTCCGTGGAAGTCTTCTTCGCTAGTTTTTAAGTCTTCTACGTTAGTTTTTGAATAAATTGTATTTTTAAGAGTGTTAAATAACTTTAAGATATGTAAAACTCATATTTTCAAAATATATTTTCTCCTTTGGTTTTACTAAATTTGACTAAGTTTTTCAACACAAACTTGTAAACAATGTGATATGCTTTGACTAGTTACTATTGTTTGTTTCCATCTCTTAAGTATTATTGTTAGACACTAATGATGATTATTGTTATGAGTTGGAAGGAAGGTTAACATATTGTATCAATACGAGGCTACCAAAATTCTTGTTTATTAGGATGATAAGAAGGCCATTGGAGTTTATTATTGCATATGGGAGATCCAAAGATGAGAAGAAGGCTATTGAAATTTATTATTCATTGATTTGTAAATGTGTAAACACATTGTTAGCATATATATTACATCTTGGGAAATATTATTACTGATTTTACAGAAATTCATAACTAAAAGAGTACACATGCAAATCACAAAACAGACCACAAACAAAACTATTATAGATCATTATATTTTAGTCATCTGGAAGACTTCTTGGAAGTCTAGAAGACTTCCTGGAAGAAGTCGTCGGGAATATTTTCGGGAAGTCGTCTGGAAGACTTTCCATAAGTCTTCCAAAATCTGATACAGATATGAAAACATGTATATCAAACTAAAATCTAAAAAACCTGCAAAAAAGATAGATTAGTGAGAAAGACATGAGACAAAATTGTATAACTCATATAAAGTTTGGTGTTTTAAAGTCAAAAAGATTATAGTGGGTTTGGAGAGTTTTAGTTGGAAAAAATATTAGAACTATGCAAGATGAGTTACCAAATAAAGAAAAATCAGACATAAAACCTACCAAAATTCTCAGATCTGTTATGAAAGGGAAAGACATGGGATAAGAATCCGTTAAGACTTGCTGGAAATCGTCGGGAAGACTTCCTGGAAGTCGTCTGGATGACTTCCTGGAAGTCGTCTAGAAGACTTCCTGAAAGTCTTCTATCGCATTATATTTTAGACGACTAACATGTAAGTCGTCCCAAAAGTCTTCCAGATCTGAAAAATCTGCATATCCAAAAACGTTCAAATGACTTAAAACAGAGAAAATAAGTGGAAGATTAGATAAATCTACCTTTATAAAATACACAAAATAAATATCTAAAATTAATAGATTTAACTATAAATGAGTGGAAGATGAGAACCATGTGATGAAAACCTGCAAAAACAAGATAAGTTAGTGAGAAAGACAATTAATTAATGGATCTAAAGTTTGGTGTTTATAAGTTCAAAGAGATTAGAGAGACGTTTGAGAGTTTTAGAATGATGAACATTACATTTTTGTTGCAGCCATTTGAGAAGGGGAGGAAGAATGTGTAAATTTTTTTATATAGGGAGACAAAAAATCCAATTAGGTTAAATATTTTTGATTCAGACGACTTACTTGTAAGTTGTCCATAAGACTTAATATTTTTAACGAGAAACTATAAAAATATTGAAGCGGGAAAACAAATTAGGCGGGAATATTAGGACGACTTACATGTAAGTTGTTTGGTTTAAATTATTCACCAGACGACTTATAAGTTAGTCGTCCAGACCCTAAACATAATCTCTAAACTTAATTAACTAACTAAACGCTTCATAAAATCAAATTAAACTTAAAAAGTGTATAGTATACACAGAAATAAATATATATATAGGTGAAAATTTAATTAAAAAAAACATTCAAGCTTTCCAAAATCTAACCCTAAGAATATATACCATAGTACAACATATATTGTCAAACCCTAAAACTAAAGAATATCATGATTAACTAATTTCACTCGAAGGTCAAAGTCATTAAGACATAAGAGCTTTGACAGAAGCTTGGAGTGTGTAGACGCTGAACTCTCTGTGTCAACTTTCACTCTATCTCTTTTGTTTTGGATGTCTAGTGACATCTTTTTCTTATCGTTTTTTATACCCATTTGTGGGTTCTACTTTTGAACTCTAGTCTTCTCTTTGTTCCAGACCAAAGATGTATTGTTTACTTTCAGTGTTAAAAAAAAAAACTAATTTCACTCATGTATGTTGAAAACTATTTAATTTTATATAGCTTAATTTATATCATTTAAAACTATTTATAATTACATGATTTTAATTTTTTACTTGTCAAAGTTTTTTTTTTAATTTATAAATTATTTTTAAGATCAACTACATCTAGAAGATTCCTAGCATCTCAGACAACTCAAACGACTTATTTGAGCTATATTCATAAAAATGACTTCTGTTTATTTTTTTGGTCACAAAGGGCTGGTTATAACTTCACAAAGCTTTTATGTTAGTTTTGCATTTGATTCAAGTGAATATAGATTTGCAATCAAAATCATGTTTTGAGTTATATTTGGCGAATTCCTTTTTTTTTTTTGCTAGCAGGCCTTCAGTTTCGTTTCCATAGCATTTGACCGGTCCAATAGTTAATTCATATAGAATTTACGAACCAGACCATTGGATCGAACCGTTTGGTTCGTTGGACATCATTTTGGGATGATGCAAACCTATTTAGCTAGGCATCTAGTGACGGGTGTCTACTGTACTGAGTTTCTTTGCTTTTCATCTATATTTCTTTTGCGTATAGGTGCCCTTGGAAACTGAGGTGCAAGGGGAACTGTTGACGTTTGAGGTAAATGATGATCATCTTAATTAGCCTCATCCACTTTTCTTGTGTAAGATTATTAATTTTTTTTAAAAAGATTCATTAATTTACAACGGATACTATAGTCATTCTTTGATGATTACAAAACGTAAGGATGCTTCAGATTTATGATTACATGTCATGTTCTGGTATATTAAGACCTCTGATATAAATCTGACTTCTGTTATACACTGTCGAATTACACAAAATTGATAGGGGAAGTTACTCGCGCTCAATAAATTCACATCCCCCACCAAATTCATTAATCTTGTGTCTCTGTCAATACAACATGCACTATTTGATAGTTGTGGTTTGGTATTAACTACTAGCGTTACTTTTTTTCCGAAACCACCTGAATTTATAACTTTCTTTGGATACTGACATGTGTTGGTTATTAGGCACTTCAAAAGCTTCTCCAACTGTCAATCACCTCACATTAAAGCCTCCTCAAGTGCTCATAGTAGTGGACTTTCACAGTTGTTTAGTTATGTCATCAAAGAGAAAGTAAAGTCATGTATAATTTCCAAGTAAACAATTATATGTACCTGCTGCATATCTTTGGATATTGATAACGAGCTAGCAAGATTACAAGATTGTCATCTCTTCTTCCATTTGTTAACTCTGTTGTCTCTAAACCCTTTCTTTACCCTATCCGGAGCTTAATGTTGCAATTGTATGGAACATGAGCCTTGGTTGGTAGCTAGCTTCTTTTTTTTTTTTGCCATCAAGATTAATATATTAAAAAGGCCAGGGCCCGACAAATTACATAACCCAGAAAAACCGGGTTCATACAACCACACAAATGGGCCTCAAGCCCAACAAGCGGAAACCCTAACTAAGGGGAAAGATGCCGACGGCCGCCACGCAGATCGGGAAGAAGAAAGACGGGCACATGTTACCATCCTCGGTACCGAGGGTCACGCGTCGCGAGGGCCGTCGCGTCACCACCGCTACTCGCTACCACCGGAGAAACAAACCTCAGTTAACCGGATCACACCGTTGCTCCAAAACTCCACAAGACTTCACCGCAATCACTTTTAAAACTCATGGGGGCCAAGATCGGAGAGAATCAATCGCCAG